AGATGGCCTCAATCCATTTAAAACCTTAAAAACAAACAAACAAAACAAAAAAATGTTGAAATCAGTCCTGAAATAGTTTGGAAGCCGGTAGAGGGACATTGGTGTTATGGGATCACGTTTCTCTCTTATAACCAATTCATAACAAATACTAAAAAACTAGATTGAAAATGGAGGCCCCAAAGTCAAAAGCCAAAGCAACTAAAGTGATACATTCGTGGTCACTGTCACACAAGTTAGACATTTTGTAATCACTGAAAAAACTTTGAGTACACCTGCAATTTCCAATCAGCCTAACTGCATCAGCACGGTTCTAAAATCATTCGTAAATACCAGGACTTCCTAAGTTTTGAAGATCTGTGCCATCAGCATGTCTGCATCTTGGCTCCACATGGAAAAGAATTGCAAGAAGAACTGAAAAAAAAAGTGTCTGTTAGGCCTCACAACGATTAAAGGACACAGAAAGATTAGCGACAAACTATAAATGAGCTGAAACACAGTTGTAACACTAATCAGGAGTTATAGAATGAGCCATAGTATCATTAATCTGAGCTGCAGTAGCCATCCTCCTGAAACGATGAAACAATCAGTGCACTAATTCCGCAATCTAGCTAAAAAAAACCCACATGGGCAGGAGCTTCTGACTTGGCACAGCAGTTATCAATAGGAACCAGAGTTTCTGTGACAGCTCAGATAAAGCGAAGGACATGGCATATCATCAACCTCTGTGGATGATGTCCAACAAAAAAAAAAAACTCTCTATAAATGTGGAATCCTTCACGCCGAGGAGGACTGAGTCTGTCATCAAAAATAAGGAGGGGCATATGAGAGATAGAAAAAATAAAGTATTTAAATCTCGGTAACAAAAGGTGTTCAGGCTTTTGTTGCATTGAGTTCCTACTGTACAATCTGTATTTTGATTATACATATATATATTATTATACACAATAGCAAATGCAGAAGTAATGCAATTACTCTGAGGTTATATAATGCTGAATCACGTGACTTAGGTTATATTTTGAAGGGGTGTACTCCCTGCTGTTGTATACAGCAAGATTGGATGTTATATCATTGATGTTTTCTGCCAGTCACACTCTGTCATTTAGTGGGGCTCTTCCACAGACTGTAAACTCTTCAAGAAAAAGTTTACCAAGTTAGGCAACATAAGGCCACCTAATAAACCGTTCTAATAGCGTCAGACAATATTTCTTTTTCTCGAGTTGCAATTTGTTGACGCACTTGCTTTGCTGATGTTTCTTGTGAGGATGGGTGCAACTGATGGAATGGTATTTATTTATAGATGAAGCATAGTTTGAAATGTCCTTGAATATTCACATTGATTGTTGCAGTGAATGTTTGGTTTGACTGATGGACCTGCTGTAAGAAATAAGACAGTAATGTGAACTTATTGCTGCATTTAATTATTTAAAGTGTATTGTCCTGACATTGTGCACATTCCCAAATAAAAGGTGGTGGTTGATCCAGCCGTGACACAATCCAGACATGAAGTACAGACTGTGACTCTTACCCTTTTATAACCTGTTTAAGTTTTATTGCAGCACAAGGCGGTGAGTCTCTCTTGGTGGAATGTTGAAATCATGTTCCGTATATTAAACAAACAAACAAAAAGCGTTGATGCGTGATGGAATCACCGTAATGAGAGTGTCCTTTATGAAGCACTACATTTGTGGTTGGTTAGAATTAGATATTTTGATTGATTGCACAATGATTCTTGAGAGCTTTTCTTTTTCCACTGATGCATTTTTCATTTGACATTTAATATCTGAGAGTATAGCTGAGCTCAAAGGGCTTGTTTTTACAATCCTCTATTACAAATCAGCAATCACCCCTGGAGTCATAGAGGAAGGCTTCACCTTAAGCTTAACCATTGTTCATGTAGCACATTTAAAACAACACACGAAGCGCTTTCTGTTTGATATAAGACACCAACATGACAAATTTACACGACTAACAGAAGTAGAAAAGTGCAAATAGTACATTTACTTCTGTTGGTCACTTTAAATGTTAAAGTCATGACCTTATAATATCACAGACAGGCTGACAAATGATTCCCTTTGACCAAGGAAAAGCCTCTTTTAACAGGGAGCTCCAGCAGAACGGGGCTCTGGGAGGGCTGATGTCTGCCTGGACCAGTTACAGTGAGGAGAGTGTTGGGAGAGAAAAGATGAGCAGTAAGAAACAACAAACCTTACCTGACTATGGTTGGTTTTCAGTGCACTGGGTGAGCATCCTCCTACCTTGATGTTTGGCTAATGGGCCCAGAACACCTCCCGAGGACTCAGTGGCATCCCAGGTGAACCCACTGCTGCTTTTTCCACTAATGCTGGCAGATGGTCCACTTGGCGCCCAGTTCTTATCCTTTTTGTTTCGACAACAGCCAGTATCCTTAGTCAGTTCCGGACTTCCATCCTGTCCAGCGGCCTGGTGGTTCGCATAAGATAAGATAAGATAAAATAAGATAAGATGAGCTTTATTTGTCACACACACATTCATACACGGTACAATGTGCAGTGAAATGTATTTAAACAACAAAAGTAAAACAACTATATACAAACAAAAGGTTGGAGCAGGTAGACGGCAGCCGACCTCACCAGCGGCATCTTGTTTCAAAGTACATGGCCACAGAACTGCTGCAACCACCCTACACAAGGAACTTCTCCAGCCAATTTGTTCCGTTTTAGTTCCTGGATCAAATTCTGGTGTTCACACGACTGAATCCTACTACGGCACCACCAGCTCTACGACCAACAGGGCCTGTTGTAAGGTTATGATCAGCTGTGTTGACCTTCATCTTCCTCTCCCAGACTGCACCCAGAAGGCTTGATTCTTTTCTTGCATTTGACCCTTTTTGGTACATTTCATGCTGGTATTTGAGAAACCAGGAGAGAAAGTCTGCTGCTGGACGACCTGGTTGTGCTTCCAGGTGTGGTGCCTTTGGGTGAGGCTGGTCTGTGAATGGCGCTGTAGGGTTGCTGGTGTTTGGGTAAAGGGACACGACGGATCATCTCTACGCCACTGGTTCAGGTTCTTCTAACTGAGAAGAACTTTGTAGATGTCTCTGAAGTATAAAAAAATTAATCAAGAGACTGTTTGGGTTGTTTGCAGTTCAACTGTATACTTAAGGTGTTTTTCCGTCAAGAGCAAACACCTGCTAACAAATCTTTAATCGTTCACTGAATAAATGATGGTTTTCAATTGTAACAGTCTGGTATCAGCATATTAAAGAGCTTAACGCAATAAAAATATGATTTATCAGCCAAATTACTTAGTTTGCTCCATTTAGGCTGACTTTCCAAATCCCTCCCTGCTGTCTGATGTTCCTAGATACAGACTTGTTTTATGTGTGTCTGTATTAAATAAATCAAGTTGTTTTGATGGCAATGAAAAGCCTCTTCATGTCCCCTTAACCATGCAAAGGTTAAAAAAGTCTGCACCTGAAGAGTCATTTTCTGTCGTTAAATATACACTGAGTTCATACTTGTATTGAATGCAATAAAATACAGTTGCCTTGGAAAAAATCTTTATGTGCGGACACTGACTCTCCTCGCTCTTCAGGGACATGGACGGACGGGGGTTAAAAATGAAAGCGATGTCCGGAAGTGGATTAGCATTTGAAGAAATGACAGTTGAGAGATGTGTGAATCACAGAGCAGTAATGAAAAGGTGTAATCTTTTGTAAGGAATTTAGCAATAAAGTGACAATTTCCTGTCTTCATGCAAAAATCACAGTTTTATTATGTCCAAATACTAAACCTTTGGCCAGTAAAAGTGTTTAAATTACTGATTTTAACGCGTTGTGCTTTATCTTCTGCTGGCCTGGATGTTTCCTTATTTTTCTCTGTCAGACTCACACTGCTTTATTCTGTGATAATTAAAATAGTGAGCTAAGTTGGCTGTTTGAGGAGTGAGAGATGATAAATTAACAATAATAAAGCACTCCAGCTTGATATTCCTCTTGAAACTAAAGTGCTTTTATCAGCTTTCCCAGAGGTGCTATCTATCATCTGATGTACTCTAAAAAAATCACATCAGATCTCCTCTCCACAGGACTGATTTCAACCTCCAGTAATGTTGTAGCTTTGACAACCAATAATTAACAACCACTTGGTATCATATAGTCAACTATCTCTATAAATGACTATTTTCAAGTGGACATTTGTAGCCCCATTTCTTCAAAACTCCACACATTTTTTGGCAATGCCTCAGGTTTACTTCCACTGCAGTGACACTAGGGGGAACTAAATAGCCTTCAATAGGCAGCCAGAAGTCCTTATAACAACCCAGTTTCACAGGAAAGTGTTTCCCTCTTGATAGGCTGATTGGTAATTGGGTAATGAGAAACTGCTCTGTGAGAAATTTGTAGGAAAAAAACTAAATGACAAACTTAAAAGCAGATGAAGGGGGATTTTGCTGTGTTCCTTGGCTGATGCTTTCACCTGATTGGGTCTAAGCCAAGAAACATTTCCCCCCTTCTGTATCCTCACATCAGCTGCTCCACCCCTCCCGTGGAAGTGAAATTTGCCCCCCTGTGCTGCAGTTTCTCCACAGTCTTTAATCTGGAGTCACTCCTACCACAGTGTGTTCCCTCAGGAAAGAGTGCGCGCCGCGTCCTGATCTTCACACGCTGCTTTACCGAACACAACAGCGGATCTATCAAGGACACAGGCTTTGAATCCAGCTTTCAAAACACAGATTTTGCTCTAAATTCTATTTTTGGGATATTGTTTTTTACCTGCATGAATGAGACCTGCAGAAAAAGTTGGCACTTGGCGGAGACTCCGTGCGTAAAGGGACTGAATCATGTATTGCGCAGAATCTCTGCTCACTTACGACTAATTTACAGGAGAGAGAAGCATCTCCACCTCACAGGATGCGAGTGGCGCGCTGAATTGTTGTTGCGTGGTTTTGGGTACCAAACTTGCGCAAAGAGCCTGATTCTGCACAAGTGTCGATTGTCGGTGGCGAGTGAGTGATTTGACACAATGGCAGCACTACGGAGGAAATTTGGCGAGGACTATCAGGTGGTGAACACCAACCGGAGCATGACTTTTTCCGCACCGGTGAAGAGGAAGAGGCAGCGCTTTGTGGAGAAGAACGGTCGCTGCAACGTCCAGCACGGTAACCTTGGCGGGGAGACGAGCAGGTACATCTCCGATCTGTTCACCACGCTGGTGGACCTCAAGTGGCGATGGAACCTGCTCATCTTCATCCTCACTTACACAGTTGCGTGGCTGGTCATGGCTTCCATGTGGTGGGTGATCGCCTACATTCGCGGCGACCTGAGCCACGGCGGCCACGACTCGTCCTACACCCCGTGCGTCGCCAATGTGTACAACTTTCCCTCCGCGTTCCTGTTTTTCATCGAGACGGAGGCGACCATCGGCTACGGCTACCGCTACATCACGGAGAAGTGTCCGGAGGGCATCATCCTGTTCCTGTTCCAGTCGCTGCTGGGCTCCATCGTGGACGCCTTTCTCATCGGCTGCATGTTCATCAAGATGTCGCAGCCCAAGAAGCGCGCCGAGACGCTCATGTTCAGCCAGGACGCGGTCATTTCGCAGCGGGACGGAAAGTTGTGCCTCATGTTCCGAGTGGGGAACCTGCGCAACAGCCACATGGTGTCCGCGCAGATCAGGTGCAAACTCATCAAGGTAGGCTACAGGTTAGACACCCAGCTGTGGAGCGCAAAGGGCTATCCAAAAGAACCCACTGCGCCATTCCAACTGTTAAAATGTCATTATCAAGGCTAATTGTCAGCCACTTAATTTGCTCTGAAATTGCTCATTATGTTTTCTGAGAGCGTTTCAAGCCATGCATTCAGTTTCCATTCATCTCCAGAATTGACTGCATTCCCTGAGGTTTTAGTAACTCCATCATAACATGTATTTTAATGAGTGACCATTTTTGCATTGAGCCCCTGAAGCCTCTACTTTTAGTGCTGGATTCACCTTGTGTGTTTGTGCTCCCCTCCCTCTTCATTTCTCAGCTGCTGAGTGTGTTGTCTGATACAGTCAGGGTCATCACAGACTGTCCCCCCTCAGTCAGCAGAACGGCTGTCAATGGGCTGTATATCTAAGTTCTCCCTCTGCTCCAGCTGTCCACGGATGAGATAAATGGGCCCCCGGGGGACAGTATAAGTGGGGAACTATACCTATTGATTAAAAGATCAATTGAGCCAATTCTTATAGTTAGTGGGCCACAATGAGTTGAATAATTCCCAAGGCCACTCTTTCCTGAAGATAAAAATGCTACTAATCTGAAGCCCTGAGCGCTGACAGTGATGCTGCTTTTTATGGGGCACATGCTGGTTTCAGAGCCGAAAACATCCCGAGGATGAAAGCAGAGCCGAGGCAGCTGCTGGCAGCTATGATAAAAGAGAAAAAAACTAAATTTTTGTGTCGTGCAACTTTGCAAATGAATGTAAAACTGCAGTGTCAAACAGCTTTTTTTTTTCTAGGTTGCACTTTGTGAGGGAAATGTGTTTGTCACAAGTCTTCTGAACAATATTTTATTTGTTCTCTGCAGGATTTATGTGCGATAGTTAGACAGCACATGTGTGAAGTTTTTCAGGTCCCTACAATTCACGACATTGTGTGGACTTTGTTTGAGTCTTGCACTAGTTCAACAAAGGACTGATCTCCAGTCAGCTCAAACCCTGGATGTCTAAAGGGCAGCGCTGCTTTGTTGTGACAGGCAGAGTTAGTCGTGGTTTTGTCATCTGTGTGGAGTAGCGTGATGATCTCAAGTGACAGTTTACTTTCTGAACCTTGAGGGAGAGCCACCAGTATGTTACTATTACCCGTAGTGCATCAGTGCGCGCGCTTAATGCTTTAATTTGCACTCAAATCCTAACCAGGCATATCATTTAATGTTTTATGCTCAAACCACAGTTAACAAAAAAAGAAAACCTGAAATGGTATCCATTAGAGAACTAAAAGTCACTCAACACATTAAAAGCCACGATTAAATAACTTATTATGGCCGCTGTTCAGCTCTGTTCAGGATGCTTTTAAATTTCATTACGTTATCTTTTGTTCTTTAATTAACAGGCAAGCGAGGCAAAGAGAAATATGGTGTCTTGATTGCACTTAATCAACAAAGCATCACAGAGGAACAGTCATAAAGAAAGGCAGCATCATCAAGTTTTTTTTCCTTCCACAGAGGACAGTAGTTAAACTCAGACAGCTCTGTGATAGTTGTCTCTAATGCATTCAGCTCTGTATGAAATAAGAGAATGAAAGCAGTAATAAACACCCCTGGGGCATACTGTAATGGTTTGACCTCTGTCAGATTCGTCTCCGCAACCAGTATGCCGATATTACACATAACGCAGTGCTAGAATTGCCTCTCTAATGGCATCTGGAGCCTCTATAGGTTTATTATTAAAGAGGAACTTTTGGCAGTTTGAATAATGGTGTGTTCATGATACCATAACACAGAGTATAACTAGTCTGGGCTGAAATGTATCACACCATCAGCTCTGATTTGTAGCATGTAAAGCAGCGCAGGAACTGCTGCAGCTCTGTTGCAGATTGAGATCCAGTGTTTTCACAGCACAGATAGCTTACTCAGCCTTTACCTCTCAGGTTTAAGGGATGAACTTGTGCAACATAATTACTGCAAAACAAACTCCGAACATTTGTCATATGATTTGCTCTGACCCATCTGTTTTTCTGTAATTTTCTTTTAATCAGTTCTTGGCTTTCTGTTAATTAGATTTCAGTGATGATACTGATCTGGGAATTCTGCCAGGAAATAATGATTTTTTATTTATTTATTTTTTTAAATGATCACTACATTATCTTTTCAAGCCACAACTATTTATATGTTGGTGGAAGGTCAGACATCCAGGACATCTTCATCATCTGCTAAAAAGCATCATGCTCAGTGCAATTAGTTATGCCCAGAGGACAAACAGTAAACAGCCACAACGTGTTTTTTGCGTTCGCTTTTATCCACTGCAGCTTCGCGGACAACATCTCGAAACAGATGCAGGAAATCGTAACATTTTACGATGGAGCTTCTGTTTTCTTGAGATTCTGGACTAACTGGGCTGTTTAAACTGTGTGCAGGGTTGCTGCATTGTTGTTTAAGCGCCCATAAAGCTACGTCATTGTGGTGTCAGACTGCACAGTGGCGTATTGTGGACTAAATTGACTGTACATCACCCCGTAGTACTACACCTGCACTGAGGAAACAATGCCCTGGCTTGTGTTCAGGTAACACACAGCTCAAGGTCACTGTCGGACGGGTTGCCCACAAAGCTGACTGGAGAAATGAGGCATGCTGCAGTAAATCCTAATGATGGAACTGTGTAAACGCGCTGTGACACGGCAGTAGCAGTCAATTACTGGGAGAGTCGGGGATTGGCCTGGGCTGTAAATTCTAATGGGACCTAGATACTCTGGATTGCAGTTAAAAGGTGAAGTTGGTTTGTATGTAGTAAGTACCTCACGTAAGCACATTATGATGACGCACATTTTGGTGCAGGATATGAACTCTTCAACTTTATTTTGCTCACAGTTTTACATAATGATGCAGGAAACAGTGATAGAATATTCCCGTTGCCTGCATCTGTCTTCTGGCTATCAACGTTGGAGTCGGCCTTGATCTGCTCAAGTTCTCCTAAATAACATTTTAGGAAATATTTAGTAAAAAACTAGGCACTCAGCACAATGGATGACTGCTGGTAATCAGTTTATCACCTTGCAGCATCCGAATAGATGCTGCTGCTGCAGTCTAATTGGTGGGACTTTCCTGTGATATGTTTGAGTAGGTATATATGAGAGAGGGTTAGTTTGCCTACATTCATTTTACCAGTTGAAGGTTTGACGACTAAAACAACATAAAAAGAGTTGTGAAGTGGCAGGCGGTGCATGGTGTTTCCACATTTTTAAACGTCCTCAGTGTTGCTTAAAGCTGTGCTAGGCAACTTTTTGGGGGGCAAAAACTCCATAATAATCTTTCAGCATATTGTGATTCAAGCGCTCTGAGAGGAAACCAGACTTCTGCACCTCCTCTTGGTTCTGTTTTGAGGCTGTACAAAGTTCAACCAATACAGGAGACTTCAACCAAGCACAGGTCTATTCAGAGAATGCAGATGCACGAGCACATCTCTTTAAATGGTGGACAGCCTGATTCAATGGCAGTAAAAGTTGTTATTCCAGCATTGGGTAACTACCCTGCAAAGCAACCTAAAAAAAAAAAAGGAAGACAGACTTGTCACACTTCAGACATAGATGTGGTAATTAAAGGCAATGTACAAAGCCATGTTCTTGGCAAATTCAAACATGCTATGCCACAAAAAAATGGATCCGTATGAATCTAAAACTCAACTGATTTCAACAGCATCATTTTCAGTTTTCCCCCATGTTCCGTGGCACACATAGCAAAGCTTTGACCTTTATTAATAACATTTGTTATTCAGTGTTCCTTCGCCAAAGTGCACGCTGGGAGTTGTCCTACAGATTTTTTTTATGGGAAAATGAATGTCCAGAATTGAGGACGCCCCAAATAGCTCCTCTCACTTTGCAACTCTGTAAGTCCTCGCTAGGAAATATTGAGAAATATTTAAAGGCCCTTGTAGGGAAAATTGACTCAGATGTAGCCACAGCCCAAAGAACCGGGACAATCGTGTCGTCTGAGTGTGATTTTTTTTCATTAGATATTGTTTTTCATCTAACGAGATACTAAACTTACGCCCACATGAAACAAATGTTATTATCAGCAGAAAAACTATTCCCTGGCAGGACGACATACTCTATATCCATAATGCATATTAACCTAAAAAGATAAAAGTCCTTGAATTTCCATAAATATTAATGCAGCGTTCATTAATAAATCAATAGAATGCAGAGGTGCACTGACCCTTGCAGCACAAGTGGAATATGATTTTTGAAAAAAAAGAAAAGCATGTTTGCATGTGGTTTGCCAGCAGTGCATGGAAGTAACGCGCTCATGCTAGCATGAAAAAAAACTGCGAAGAAACAGAAGCAGTAAACAGCAGCAGTGATACAGACGGAAGAGAGTGACAGCTGGGCGGTGCTCGTCAGTGTCAACAGAAGCTCGTCTCACTAGGTTGGTCTATAGCAGGAGATAAACGATAAGAGCTCGCAGCAGATAGACAGGCATGGATGCAGCGTGGATGTCAACATGACATCCCAGTATCTCCCACTGCTTAACTCAGAGGGGCCGAACAGAAAAAGCAGGAGAAAGAAGAGACTGAAAGAGAGACAGCTGAATTAGCTTTAATGCTGCTGTGGGGAGATCGGAAATGGCAGCTCCGGTGTGACATCTGTGCGAGTGTTACGTTTGATGCCAAAGCTCAAAGGTTCAGGCCGGACATATGCGCTGACACACTTGAATGACGCAAACACACAAAGAGAAATGCATGTACATGTTCTCCTTCGTTGTCACTGTTTGGGTTTCTTTGCATTTTTCCCACACACACACACACATACACACTCGCTCACACACACTGAGGAAGAAGTGAGTCACCGAGGAAAAGGGTCTGCTTTCACTCAACCTGGATCTCAGGTGGTAAATTAAGCACCGCCGCTATATCAGGACCTCTTCTAAGGGCCATTAATTCCCCCCTTGTGGCCCTGACTGTTTAGCTGAAGTAAGAGAACACACAAGGCTTTCACCTTGT